TCTTTCTCCAACGCAGCTTTGATCTCGTCAACGACTTCAAACCCACGAGCCGATCTTCTGTTAGGGTTCGAGTTCTTCTCGCTCGTGATTCTCCCGCTGCTGTCCAGCAACACCGAGCCGTCGCATCCCTGCACTTAAACGAAAAGATCGTCATTAGAAATGACACAAGAGTTTGAAATGGCCAGAAATGGAAGAATCTTGAAAACTCAGATGGAATCAGAGTTGAAACCTGAACGAAACAATCGTGGAAATGGAGCCTCATCAGCGAAGCGGCCATACGGGTTTCTCTGGCAACAGCTTTCGCTACAATGGACCTGACTATCTCTTCAGCTTTAGGGCAAGAATGGTCGTAGAAACCCGGGTAAAGCTTCCCGCCATAGCTCTGATTGCAGAGACGGAGAGGAAGAAAGCAAACGAGAGCAAGAACAATGAGAAAACCGGAGAATCTTGCCATCATTTTCTACCAGACGAAGAAGAGGAAGGTGATGAGTGGTAATGGAGGAGAAGAGGGTATTTATAGGCAGAGACTTTGTTCATGCAGAAGAAGCAAAGGCAATGGAGTTGGTAGTAAATCAAGATTTACAAAAAAAAAATCTATAATGAAAAAGTTCTATCAAGAAGCTAAAAGCTAGGGTTTGGTACCAAACATGCATGTTTTGTCTGACTTATTCACCTCCTTTATTTTATTTTTTTGTTTAGGTTGTAAGCTAATGACTTTTGAGAAAAATCCTAGAAACTTTTTTTTTCTTAGACAAATCCGTTTAATCTTAAATCCACAATACAAAACATTAATTAATGGTCTGTCTGCATGGTTTTGAGTGTTTTAATGATTTTTTGGTAACCAATTAGGCAGCTTTCTATGTAAAGCATATGGAATGAAATATTCATTGGCTCCGTATAACCAAACCATACTACAAATATAATAAAGAAGACATCAAAGGCTCAAAGCACGCACGCGGCATACGCATACCCTCAACGCGTTACCATTATTAATTTAGACTAAAGTTTTTTTTTTTAATTGACTTGGTTAAACCAATAAAACGCCTAGATTAAACTAAATTAATTAGAGCTCAAACCAATGTCGGATATTGTCTGTCGATTGATTTTTTTTTTAAATTTGAATTTTTTAGTTTTTTTTCGGATTCTCAGTTTTTAATTAAAAAGATATCTTATTTTAAAAAAATGATTATCCAATTTACTATTAAATCAGAATCGATTGAATTAGGTTTGATTTTGCATAACGAAATACGGACTTGGACCCTAAAGAGTATAAATAATGAAATGCCAAGCGATTACAATAATGAAATTACAAGTCATTGCAGTGGGAGCAGATTCTAACTGCTATGTTGACAAAATTTTCCCTTAAAGGTTCCATCTTTGTTGACTTGTCAAAACACTTTGACTTAGCAAAGACGGCAAAGAAGTTTTCATGCATAAAATAAATAAATAAATAAATAAATAAATAAATAAATATATATATTATGCAGGTTAAAGCTTTCGCAAGGTAAAACAACTATGAACCTTTCCACAATGACTTTTTTTTTTCTTCTAACTTTTTGTGCAGACCAATTTCATTTTAATAACCGAATAATTATATCGATTTGAATAACATAACATTGTAATTATAATCGAATTGAATTTGATATAAAAATTAATTGGTTATAATTGAAAACTCCAATTTTTTTAATTAATATTTTTATAATAAAAAACCGAATCAAATTCAATATAAAAATATAATTGTTATAGTTTTTATGGCTTGGATTCCTTCTAGAAATTTAGATACGACAAAAATGAAATTACACACAGTTGAGTTGAGATTGTGTCTTAACGTAAAAAGCAATCGATTACGGCATGAAACACTGAGTAACCCTTTTCATGTTTTCACGTTCTCAACGTTCTTATCAGAGATTAATACAACAAATAGAACATGAAAACTTGAAAATAATCTCACCGGCGGATCCCACGTGATAATCTCGTGCCTAGGTTTCCCCAACGGTACACAGGCTTGGCTTGAGTTGTTCTTGTTCCTCCATTCCTAAACCCTCCATCTTAGCCAGAAGGTTTACCCAGTCTTCGGCTCAATCCTTGCGCAGAGTTCCAGTGGACAATGACGTAAAGAAGCTCAGATGACTGCAAAAGAGAGCATTTCCAGAAACATGATCAATAAAAAGACTGTCATTTTACAAGAATTTCACTTCAAAACTTTAAACCCTTTTCGCCGCCGCTAACTCACATGGTAGGATATGATTGAAGGTGCTTGTCATAGCCACATGGACGAGATTGGTGAACCCTGAAGATAAGAACAGGAGGGCGGAAGGAATTTGTTCGCAGTGTTAAGTAAATCCATCAACTTCTCTCCTTGCTTCTTCAGGATGAAAACTTCATCCATTATGTTCTTCTTCTTTCCCATCACCCTGCAAAGGAATTGATCCAACCATTTCAGTTGTTATCGCAATTTTACGAGATTTCATCAGGGAAAGAAGAGATGGGGTCTCGCCTGTTATGTGGGTCGGGAGAATTTCCACAGTCAGAGAACAGAACCTTCACAACCGGACGTAATTCTCCTCTGGAACATGTATCAGCCGTTGCATCTTCATCACTCGAGCAAAGACCAGTGGAGCACCAGGTGTTTGGATTCAGGATGACAATTTGGAACAGGGGAAGTTTGTTTGTCAAATCTTTTACCACAACCTGGAAAGATAGTTCATCTTTTGCATATTCCACTAGCTGATTGGTAAACATCCTGTCCAGTGTATATTTCCTGCAGCAGTAGACCAAAAAAAAAGGAATGAGTAGCTAATAATGCATATTCGTCTTTTGCCAAATGGTTTTACAATTTCCATAATACCTGAAGGCATCAGCCGGTCCACCTACAGGAGAAGATGTGGAAATATAGCATTTGAAGAATCTAACTCCACCATCTATGAGGGAGTTGCTGCTAGAAGGATAGACTCCGAGGAGAGACGAACACTTTGAGCAACCAAATTCAATCCATTTTACATTCCTCGATACATTTGATGCTCTTGCCATGAAGACATCCTCGAGAAAACCGTCCAGAAGAAATTTCTTCTCCGGCGTAAGATCTGTTGCATTTGTGATCGTTTGTTCCAACTGAAATCTCTCACACGAGTCATTCGAGCCAAGCACACAACACTCAGGCATTGATGCCTTGTCCACTAAATGTATATCACAGTGATATGTTTCTCCATGATCAGCTTTTCTCGAAGGCTCTGTGTTATCTACCTGACCACAAACAATACCGAGTTCACTCTCACACTGATTCTCTGGGCAGACACTATTTTCTTGATTTCTCCTAGAATCCCGTTCAACTTTGCCAAGATCAACACTAAAAGTTAAATTTGATCCGAGTTCTTCTTCTTGGATGCTATTTATTTCAGACAATATACCCTCTTCCAGATCATCTTTGCTAAGCAAAACAGTTGTAGCACTGAGCAGACACAAGCCACTGGAACATGAGTAGGAGTTTGCGTACTTTGCCACCATCATCTCACTTATTCCTCCAAAAGTACAACAGCAGTTCCCAAACCAGTTGTCAGCCGCTTCTCGCCAGTTAACAGATGGCATTTCTGAGAAATTCCTATGCCAGAAACCACATGACATTCTTTCAGACAGTAACATGAGAAACAGAAGCAAATGACAAGAACAACAAAATGCTCAGAAGGTGCTTATCACAACTTCCTAAAACTCGCCATGCGAGAGCACATAAAACAACTCTCTTACCGGAGACCTTCCCTTGTTAGCCTATTCGAGCAATTTCTGCAGTAAAAGTCAACTTTTCCCATCAAAGACAGAAGCTTCACATCTACAGACAACAATCGTGGGTAACAAACAGATTAAGGGCTAATAATTGATTCAATCGAGTCAAAAATCAACCAGTAATCCCATTACCAGAGTCCATCACCAGCGGCCCGGCAGATTCAAAGGCCGAATCTTTTGTATCCCCGAGAGAATAAAGTACCGAGTCGACGATGGGATGGTCGACCGGAAGGAGAAGAACAAGTTTAACCTCGATGTGGTCGTCCAAAGCCCTGAAATTCACAGGGGATTCGGCATCAATTAAAATCCTAGGTACAGGAACCCGAAGGGAGACCTCGTCTCGTTCCTTTGCTTCGTCTCTGTCATCTACATCGTCGACCCAGGTGATGAGAAGCTGAGATTGCTCGAGAATCAAGCTAACGCTCAGGCTCTTGCAGTGGAGTCTAGGGCTTGTTCCGGAATCAAAGAGAAACAAACGCAGATTCGGAGAATGCGACTGAGCCACCCATGTGTATCGCCAATGCCTAGGGTTTTTAGGGTTTTCCGCCATGGAAATATTTCTCCACTCGCCTCTAAGAGCGTTTTCTTATCCTAAAATGAAATCGAAATTTCAATGCCATGATCAGATGAGATCGACAATTTAGCTCACTATCAGAATTCAGCTTCCGCTTAAGCAAAACACTACGGACACGGCGTCTATAAAGAATCATACAAACATAAAGCTACCCTTCTTTGATATCAATGGTACTGCAACTCTATGTGGTGTACAGCCAATGTGTGACTTGGGATGGAAACAGAGAAACCCAACCACGATTAGATCAGAGACATCATTCACACAAGGATATACCAAGACGGCAAGACGACATTCAAGAGAACAGGAAACCAATCAATTCCTAAATCCATCAATACGGAACGAATATCAAACCCCATGAACACATTCCGGAATCGGTGACCACCCATATCTCGACAGAGAAGGACAAGGCAGAGAGAGTCGACGGAACAGAAGGCGGAGAAGAAGAAGAGAAATACCTGCGGAGCAAGCGGTCGAGACTCACACAGAAGCCGCAGGCGGCCGCGTCGCGAGATCTCGACAAAACAGAATGGAGAAGGAGGAGGACGCAGGCGAGGGAGATAAGCTCGGATCGGTTTCGTTCGACGGATTGAGAGAGGGAGAATAAGAAATGAAGAAGAAAGCCGCCGTCGAGAGAATCCGACTGAAGAAAAGAAAAGAAGAAATGAGGTTACCAAAGACTCTAGTTGGAAAAGAGGTTTCTACTTTGATCAAAAGAAAAGTCAGACCGCAAGCCAGCTCGCGGGCCGGCCTGAACTGGCTCGCGACAAGCTAGGCTCGCGGTGGACTGGACCTGGACCGTCGGATCCGTTTTTTTTTTCGGGCTCACATTTATCTAGCCCAGCTCGGAGCTCGTGGACCAGCCGAATCTTTGCATCCCTACCTCTCCTGGCTGCTGCAACTCGGTAAAAGCATCGTTGAGTAACATACCGTTTTTTTTTTTGGTATGAAAACATACCGTTTTGATTACAAGTAAAAGAAATGCGTGCCGTTTTTTTTCATGTAAAACAGAATGCACTGCAATAGACTTCCGAACCGACGCCGTGCTCGTTTAGTCCTGCGGACTAACTTCCAAACTCATTCGGAGGGTTCTTTTTTTTTTGGTCACGCTTGACGAATTCCATGCTTTAAAAAAATCTTATTGCAGAGGCACTTTTACGATTTATTTATTTATTTATTTATGGTTAAAGCGTTACAAATTATTTACTTCAACATTAAGATATATATCATTCATAGTTTCATATACACTATCAAAAGTAAATAAAAAAATAGAGAAGTGGTTTCATGTGTGTGCATGTGGCTGCGTGTTGTGTGTGTGTGTGTATAACTTTATAATTCTAACGTACGTACCACCATAAATTAGTGAAAAAGGACAAACGAGAAAGGAAACCATGACGCAGCCACCGTAATAGTGGAAAGCCGAACTCTTCAGTTTTTGACAAAGGGACAAATAGATATATAATTATATATTATATAATATATATATATATATGGATTTAGAACTTGTGGTTAGCATATAATCAATACAATATTTATTTGTTTTTGTTGGTTACAAATACTATTTGAGATACATTTTGATTTCCCTATTCAAAACTATTTGAATAACACGTTTTATAAATGTGTTCAATTATGCGAAACTAAATAAAATTTTATATGATATTTAAAAACAAAAAATAATAGAATATGAACTAAATATGACAAAAATTGAAATATATGCAAAATTTTAGAAAATTGATATTTTTTTTTACAAAAAACGAACTCAGTTAAAATCCTGAAAACATATAAACAGAGTGAAACTTAACTAATTAGAACGGATATAATTTTTGTGAAACCCAAAAATCTATATCTAAATAATAACTTATTTAACGGAATGAAAACCTATAAATATTCAGACCTACGCTAACATATGAGAACACACCTACGAATGTATATAATATGAAATTTCGCATATGGTATCTAATCGCCCCTTAAAACGACGGGAATTTAGCTAAAAGTTTATGCGACTACGAAGTAATTGACTAAACTTTATAATGGCATTGATTATTGGATATTAAATTAACATCATCATCGAATTACCGCAAAAATTGCTATAAAACTTTCGGGAAATTAATTAATAAATAAAAAACAAGTAGTATATGTATTTGACTTTATTTACATGGTCTTCTCCTTACCAAAAAAAATATGTATGGAGATTTTTTTTTACAATTTACTTAGATATAGAAATTTGTAATTTTTTGACAAAAAAAAATTGTAATTTGTAACCGATTCATTTTTGAAGAAAGAATTGTTCTCTTTTTTTTTTTTGTATATTTTTTTCTGGCCAATATTTTATATGGCGGTAGCTTAAAGAACGTGGACTGATAAAGAACACGTGAATGATGCCACATTACTCGCGAAATAAAATGCATCTCTAATGTTTAATTTGTTTGCTTATATATATATATATATATATTATAACTTGTCGGTGCCCTTGTAATCTGTCTTTTTTTTAATTCACCTATTTTTTATCCTCAAATTTTTTTTAACCGGTATTCTACACCAAGATCCAAACTAATCATAGGATCGAAAACTAACTATGTGATTTGGATTATGCATTCCTTTTCCAAATTTGAGATTCAAACTCCGAACAAAGTAAACATTTTACGTCCCATTTCAGTGATTGAACTACCTACATTTGGGTGCTTTTATCCTCAAAATTTTTGAATATCAAAAGCCATTTATCACATTTTATATGTAAATCCTTCAACATCAAATTTTAGAAAATCATTTATATTATTTATTATATTTAGAAATTTATATCAATAGATTTATTATAATTTTAAACTTCTTTATATTTAATTACATCTTAAATTTATAATACGTGCAAAAATACTGACACTATATGTTTTAATAAAATCCGTATGGTAAATTTTAAAAATTTTATAACATGTAACAAAAAAATTTCACGCACACACACATCGTCAATTAGGTCGTGTGATCAGATAACGTTATATTAATTTAAACTAATTTATACTAAATTAAAAAAATTTATATTATTTTTATACGTACCGATAAAATCAAATTAATGGTGACTAATTTTTTCACATGTTATTAATGTCCCGTCAATAATCCCCCCCTCTAATTTGCTATATATATATATAAAGGAATTTGTTCGCAGTGTTAAGTAAATCCATCAACTTCTCTCCTTGCTTCTTCAGGATGAAAACTTCATCCATTATGTTCTTCTTCTTTCCCATCACCCTGCAAAGGAATTGATCCAACCATTTCAGTTGTTATCGCAATTTTACGAGATTTCATCAGGGAAAGAAGAGATGGGGTCTCGCCTGTTATGTGGGTCGGGAGAATTTCCACAGTCAGAGAACAGAACCTTCACAACCGGACGTAATTCTCCTCTGGAACATGTATCAGCCGTTGCATCTTCATCACTCGAGCAAAGACCAGTGGAGCACCAGGTGTTTGGATTCAGGATGACAATTTGGAACAGGGGAAGTTTGTTTGTCAAATCTTTTACCACAACCTGGAAAGATAGTTCATCTTTTGCATATTCCACTAGCTGATTGGTAAACATCCTGTCCAGTGTATATTTCCTGCAGCAGTAGACCAAAAAAAAAGGAATGAGTAGCTAATAATGCATATTCGTCTTTTGCCAAATGGTTTTACAATTTCCATAATACCTGAAGGCATCAGCCGGTCCACCTACAGGAGAAGATGTGGAAATATAGCATTTGAAGAATCTAACTCCACCATCTATGAGGGAGTTGCTGCTAGAAGGATAGACTAATTACCTAATAATGTCCGTCCATGGCGATTAGATCATGCGTGTCCATTGATTAATATTTATTCAAATAAACAATTAGGAACACTGCCAATAATTGGGAATTCAGTGTATATATTTGTCCGTATATTAACCAATATTGATGATGACGATATCATATAATGCCAATGCCTTTACAAATATCAATATGTAAATGTCTTTCGTTTTCATTCTTTTAGGTTTGTGATGATATAACTCGATTCCATTCATATTGAAAGCTGAATAATCTTTTTTCTTAAGTCATGTTATATTTTTTTATATTATACATGACATCCTAGCTACTTTCTATTTTTTTATGTATAAAATATATTTGAAATATAACTAAATATTCAATTTGGTTATTCTTCCTGTTTTTTTTTCTTTGAAATTCTCTCTCTATATATATATTATGTTTCAATTCGATTTAAATTATATTCAGAATTTATTTTAAATAAATTTTTTTGTTACTTTATTTTGTTCATTATTTATTTTTTGCAAGGTAAATAATTAATAAAAAAAGTAACACAATAAATTTATTTAAAATAAATTCGAATTTAATTTAAATACTTGATTATTTAAATATTTGATTATTTTAATTGTAAAATTTTTCTATTGATGTTATATTATTTCTATTTGAATATCATTAGATATGATATGGTTTTAATCGTTTATTTTTGTTCATAGTTTTGATATGATTGTGAATAGACTTTTTTCTGTTTCGTGTAAAATATATTGTGAATACAAAGCATTTTGGTTTATTCTTAAGATTTTTCTTTCGACACGTTTTTATTTTACTTGAAAAGGAATCCCCAGTTTTCATATATATATATATATATATAATGCAATTACACCTCAACAGTCTCTTTGCATATATACTTTCATATCTATAGATATTTTATTTAAAATTCGAGAACGAAACCAAAAACAATAAGTGTTTTTTTCTCCTTTCTGCAAATTATTTAGGCTCTAAATAATTATTTATACAAAACTCACATATTTAGAGTTTCGCTTTCTGCTAGCAAATTGTATTTTGTTGTACGGTTTTATCTTTTTAATTTACTCTGTATGCTGCTTTTTATTATTTAAACATGCTGATTACTATTATTATTATTATTATTATTATTATTATTATTATTATTATTATTATTATTATTATTATTATTATTATTATTATTATTATTATTATTATTATTATTATTATTATTATTATTATTATTATTATTATTATTATTATTATTATTATTATTATTATTATTATTATTATTATGCTGTCCATGCATCATCATGTGATCGTTTCACTAAACCAAGAAATTAAAAATAAAAAATAAACAAATGAATTCACAATAACAAAAGGGTATTGATTGAAGACAAACGAAGATGATGATGATGATAATAACAACAACAATAATAATAACATTCATAACGACAAGCACCAACCAACCATTACAAACCCATTGACTCAAATACTCATTCTATTTCATATTTTTCATCTCCTAACCAATCAAAGATGCAATGTAATTTACATCTTCACAACACACAAAGACAAAAAAAAAGTAGACTAAAAAAAATTAAAAAAAAAGGATAAAGAGACTAATTGATTAATTAATACATAATGATATCATTAGCCATGATGGGTTGGTTGGCGTAAACGGATCCACCCCAAGGATTCACCACACTAAACATGCCGCCGTCGTCGTTGTAGAATCCGTCGTTAATCCCCACCGTCCGATCATCGAAACCACAGCCGTCTATCTCGCCGGAAGTGGCCGAATTCGAGCTCGCCGACACGAATCCGATGATGTCGTTGAGAGACTGAAGCCTCGAGCTGAGCTCCGACAGCTGAGCATTGAGAACGGAGTTCTCCGCCTGAATCTTCATGTAGAGCTGAGTCGTGACGGTGAGGCTCGTCGCGATCTGACGGTTCTCGTCCTTCAGCTGGTCGATCTGAGCCGTCAGATCGTCCAGATGCTTCTGCTTCCTCATCCGTGATCTTCTCGCCGATTCCCTATTCGACAGCATTCTCTTCCTCTTCCTCTCGTCCACGACGGCGGCGGAAGAAGGAGATCCGCCGGAGATTGGGCTCGAGCTCCGGTACGTGCTACTAGACGACGCCATGTACGATGTGAATACAAACCCTCGAAAATCTTACAAAAAAATTGAAAATGTACAAAACCCAGATGGAAAGTTTTCTCCTTTTTCGCTGTTTCTAAAAAAAATGGTATGTTATTAAGTAGATTTAACTGCAGGTAGGTCTCTGGTTTAAGCAAAAGGAATTAGGGTTTATAGGGTGTTCATGAAACGTTGTAGAACCAGTAGAGGAATACGACGGAGAAGGACTGGACGAGGTGAGTTCTACGGCGGAGAGCTGAATCTACCATAAAACCAGAGAGGAGGATTTCACAGAGGACCGGAGTCATGGATTCCCGATCATCCAAAAACCCAATTTTTTTTTCTCGGGCAAGTCGGAGATCTGTCAAGGGGCTGTCTTTTTAAGGTGGTCGGAAAGGCAGAAGAGTTGTACCTGGAGATGGAGAAGAAAGATATGGAAAAAAGGGATATTTTTGTGACGAGAATGAAAACACAGAGGAGAAAGGTTAGGGATAAGGAGAAGATGTGGAGGGGGAAAGAGGTGATGAAGAGAGTTGCTCCTGGATTTTATAGCCCAGATTAAGCCTCCACATTTTATTTATTTATTGTTTTTTTTAAGAAAAAATAATGGATGGTGGAAGCGTTTCGTCTATTTTTTTTTTTATGATAACTTAAATAAAGTTTTTTTTTAATTTCTGATTGATGTAATTATGGGCTCTCTGTTTTTTTAGTAATCTAATTATTATGGCTTTGTAATTATGGAATGGAGCTTTCAAAAGTAGGTGAATTAGATGAGGATAGACAAATCAAGATTTTAAAAAAAATGTCTGAACCTTTTTATATAAATTTGTTCAAGAAAAATCAACTCCATGATTCTCGAATAGTCCGTCAATTCAATTGTAGAAAAGTTCTTTTTCCGGGATAAAATGATAATTCGGTAAAAAAATCCAAGGCCTATATTCATATATTAAAATATTCATTTATAAATTACAAGGGTTTTTTTTTCCTTCTAAACTTAGTCAAAATAAAAAAAAATAAAATCCTCAAAGAGTATCCAAATTCAGAAAAAGTAAAAATTCACAAAGCGACGTCGTTTTTGTGGGTGGTACGGAATCTTTAATTACCGTTGGTAGTTAAAATCACCTGGGGAAGACGAAGTCAAATTAAATAAATTTAATTTTACCGGTTTCGATACGACGCCGCTTTGAAGGAGAATCTCGTGGTAGATCTGGATCGTACGGACCGCGTGCGTTGTGTCAGACATGGATCTTAATTTACTTCAAATAATAAAAAAAATTAAAAAAGGTTTAACCCCTAAGCAATGGGAGGGGACAGACCACATGGGTCGTAGCTCCTCTTCCAAGTACTTTAATTTTTACACAATTTTTTTTATAATTATTAAATTAATAAACAATGTAAAACTTGTCCCTAATCAGTGATCAATGACTAATTTGCACATTAATGTTACGCAAAAGCCAGAGATTTCAATGAGAATGTGGAATCTTGAAATGTCAAATTTGTCAAATAAATTTTGGATATTCAGTTTACATTTTTACATGTATTGAAAAATATAGGATTAGAGTTCAACATTAATTTCTTTATATACATTCAATTTGAGAAGTTTATTATGAAATGTTATAACATTTTTTAAGATTTAAACGTTAAATTAATTGTATGATTATGATATAACGGATGTATATCTTTTGTATTTATTTTATTTCATACGCACTATAATGTTGGGAAAATAAAATATTTTAATCATTTTAATTGTATGTGTTCATTGCGTCACATAAAAAAAATGTAATATGTTTTTATATTTATTTAATGGAACAGAATAAAAAAGCAAATAGTCCAAAGTTAGGTCGGTAGGTGCCATCAAAAAAAGAAAACAAGAAGTGGCATATTCCCTCGATCACTTAGTTTGCCAAATGTAGGATTGCAATTTAGAATTTGAATTATATTTTGAAGTTATTTAATTTTATAAATCATACATTTGATTTTAAATAAAATTTTAGTTCTATCCGTTTAATTTTTTAAAAATATTGAATTTTAAACTTTATTTTCATTTGCTAAACAAATACATCCAATTAATTTTTAAATCAAATTTAATTCAAATATTATTACGTATTATTTAATTTTTTTTCTCGATTTTATATATTTCAAACAAAATATTCTTAAATAAAGCGTTATTATATACTAACCAAAATTTAACTTTAATGAATCGCAGCTTTCTTTTTCTTTTAATTTATTAAATTTGTTCTCTTTGTTACTGATAAAATTAATAATCAATGGATTTCCTTTTTCTTTTATTTCTTGAATATTTTATGGGAATTAGGAGGGAAACGATTATGTGTGGGTTAGATACATGAATGATATCTTCTACCAGATTATATTATATACAGCGTTGTGGCCAATGTCGTTAGATCATTTTTGACCGTACTGACATAAAATATTTTAGAAACATATTTTATTAATCACTGTCATATCTTTTATCTTTAAAACTGCACAATTTTACAATTGTAACCATATGGGTTTGTTTTTATTTTATAAAGATTATAAATTTGGTATATTGAAAATTAGACTTAGATATCTGACAGTTAAAAATTTTAAATTTGATTTTTTTTTTGAAATTTCATATAAATTGATTTGTTTAAGATTTGGTGGTGTATTGTTGTGTGAGTCACAATAGGTTGGCTCCAACTGAGGAAAAAATAAAGACGAGGAGAAAAGTCACTGCAATAACTGTGGACCCTTCTTCCCTCTTTCACTTTTTAAATTTTATTTAACTTTTTTAAAAAAGATAAAATATGTCATGTGGGTTTTTATATCATTATACGATAATACACACGAAATATATAAAATATCTCATGATGATGTAATTGATGGAGAATATTCTTAAAAAAATGGATTAAATATCGCAGGTCTTGCCCCATTGTCTGATTTAATTATCATTTTTTGTGTTATTTTAGTTGTAAAATGACTCACAAGTCAAAAGCATTTTGGCAAAATTAACAATTGAAATGGCTTCTTCATTTTCATATTGATCATATAACTTTAAAATTATATATATATATATATATATATATATATATTGCATTTGTGTTTTGGAGTGAATTTTGAACCCTATTAACCATTTCAAATATAATTGTTCTTAATTATTAAAAAGATAATATATCTATCCACCGAAAAAAAAAATTAAAATTAGTCTAAATACCAAAAATAAAAAGGAGTAAGACCTACAAGGTGTATATAGTGTGTATTGCTTTGTGTTGTTGTAGCAATGCGATAATAGTTTTTTTTTCCATTAATTTTGACAAAAATGGAGATCAGATATATCCAAGGCTGAAACAAAGAAGGGCAACTACTTCATTACTAAGTAATGAAGCTTTTTGTCTCGTGGCTTTATTCTCTGCCTAGAAGATTTTCTAAAGATTATATAGGCACGTGCTCTTATTCAAAGCCATTTGATTCGATTCTATGAATCTTCAAACTCTCTCTCTCTCTCTCTGTGCATCACCTACCAATCCAAAAGCCGACGTTAAAAAGTTTTTGAATCGGTAGACCAAAGACAATGTTTTTATTAAAATAGTAAAATGAATATGTAATCGGAGTAAAATAAGAATTTGAGATATAATAGAGAATAATAATAGAAATAATATTATTATGCCAAATATTGTGTATCTGATTTGTTTCTATTGTATCTATATTTACTTTTTACTTCGTTTCTTAATTTTCCTATAAATATGTATTTCATTTTCATTGTAATATAACAACAAGAAGAAGAGATATAGTAATAAAAGTATTCTTTGTTTTATTTTTATATTTTTTTTTCTCTTTTTAATCTTCGAATTTTATTTTTCGATAGTCTACATCTTATTTAACTTTTTTTTTTGAAAATCATATTTAACTTTTGATAACTATGAGAGCTTTTTTGACTATTTCTTTGATAAGTTATTATAAGTGGAAAAGACAAGACAAGAAGTCCTAACTATGAAATCCTCTTAGCAAGACCCAAATTTAGGCAGTTCAATCGGTGAAACGAAATGCAAAACGTCTTCCTCGTCCCAAAATCGAACTTTAAATTAGAGAGAAACATATATTCTAAATCATATGATTGGCCTGCGATTTCGAGATTAATCTTAATCTTGGTTCAAGATACTGTTATAAAAAAATCCTAAGTATCAACTAAACATTGATGGATTCTTGAATTTCTCTCATTCATTTCTCTCGAGAAAAATCTGTACACAAAATAACCATAAATATTTTCAATTTGTGTATATTTATAGGGAAGAATAAACTTTAGCTCTATTACAACACTATTGTTACATGCACATACACATACACATATATGCATGCATATATATATATATATACATACACACGTACATCGAATTAAAAATTCTTGAGCCAATTTTGGATTATACTTGCTCTGCATCTTATGGTTAATAAAAACATTTATATACGATGAGTATACTCACCAAACACATAAGACATCATCACTCTGTAATGGAACACACACACACACACACACACACATATATATGCATCTATACACACACACATACACACTGCACAAAACAAAACTTGATTCTTGAACAAAAACAAGAGTAGGACTTTACGATAGGATTCATTAGATGATACAAGTGCATCTGAGTAGGTCTTTTGTCGCCGTGTCTTTTTCCTCCATAGTTTCTCACCAGTTGAACTGCAGAAAGAGCATAAGCAAAAAAAGAAGAAGAAGAGACCAAAGACAAATCCGAAGAACATTACAACATGCTATTTTAGGAAAGAGCTTTTAACTAGTTTGCATTAAGATGGAGACTTAATTATTATTACCAGCTTCTTTTTCTTCTTCTTCTTTTCAATGTATGCCACAAACTCCTCCTGCCGGCTAAGGGTATCCTCCAAAGCCTGGTTTTTAGACATTTTAGCCATTTTACTGATCGATTAACAGAGCAATGTGTAATAATATGTACCTTTTTTGTGGCAGCTAGCTCTTGCTCCAAGACATTGGCCCGACTAATGGCAGAATTCAACATCTCCTCCTTCTCGGGTGGCATGGTCGTTGGCTGCATGCTTAAGGAAGTAACTTTCTGCTCGAGTTCAGCCATACGTTTCATCACGGTCATGAACTCCTCTCCCGAGATTGGGGGCATTGCCAGTTTTTGTGACTGCATTGCGCTTTTGTTCATCGATTCGTCGTCACAGTACACAGGGCTCGAGTATATTGTTCCCTCGGTAAGCCTTTTCGGGACGTTTCTCGTCACTCTAATCATTGTGGCAACACCCATCACTAAAGCCATGACGCCGTTGAAAATGGGAGATTTGCCGCCGGTTGTATCCTTACAAGCCTCCTGAATGGCATAAACATCTTCTGCTACAAAACATGAAAGTTTGTTTTAGCTCACATGTCCTAGCAGAGCATCTTATATGTGTTTGGACCCAGAAGTTAGCCACTGATATCTATTTACCTATCTATCTATCTATCTATCTATCCATTCTAACGTTTTTTCCCGAAGATAAGTTTTTCAGCCCTAATCATATTAATACCAATAAGTTCCCATTTCAAACTTTTTAATACTAATAAGTTCCCTTTTCAAACTTCTGAATCACTGCAGACAACTACGTACAAATCGAATAGCAAAGAGATGCATAAAAGCCACATTACCTTTCAAGAGTTCAAATTTCTGAGCGTCCGGTGTGTTCCAGGCTGAGTCCACAGTCTTATCAAACCCTGGAGAAGAAACCGGTCCCTGATTTCGGAAAAGGAAATGAGATATATATCAAATCAGTCGTAAAACTACATTGGTCATTTACCGAACAACTGATACGACAGGAAGAATCTGAACCATCAATGGTAAGCTAAGCTTGCGAGATCATCATTCTTACATTTTGATGAGGAGAGGATAACGGGTGGCTTATGTTGTCTCTTGAAACCTTTTCCTCTTCGGGAGCCAGATTAGCTGTAGATTTGTTCTCCTGGAAATCATGTAGAAGAGATTATCTAATATTTGATGGAAAGATGCAATGGCCGAGCATAAAAAAAAAATCCTGAATCAGATTCTTGGAAAAGAGCAAACCAATGGAGATACAGATAAGCTTATAGTAATACCTTAGAGTTAGAGTACAAGATCTCATCCTCGGAAATGGTCTTCTCTGTAGCATTTTCAGCTTGCGATCTCTTTGAGCATTTGTGGTGACCGTCTTGAACATTCTATAAGTCCAAGGTGAATCAACTACATGAGCCAAGGAAAAACTATAATAAAAGAGTTCTAATTGCTTCAGTAGATTAAAGAAATTATAGCTAAAAAAAAGAGCCATTCACCTTCATGATCTCCGGATCATTCCATGGACCTTTGTCAGAGCGCATGCAGCCTCCTTTGTCAGCACATGTACATGTACCTCCAAGAAACTCGGGAAGCTCACTGGTAGGAAGAAATATGAAAGTCTGTAGAATTAGCAAAGGGATCCTCTCTGTAGGAAAGTTTTGTGCCAAAAAAATCCGCAAAACTCACCTAGCTTCAATAATTTCCAACAATTTGCTCTGGTATTTGTTGCCAAGAACCTGAAGAACAACCCCCAAAAGTTAATTTAGTTGCACTATTGAGCATTGTCATGCATGAAAACCGGAAGAATTAGCAAAGGGGTTGGATACTTGCATTGATCTTTGCCGTGGTCTTTGGGTCAAGGAAGGATTTAACAGTGTTCCACAACATTCTGAATCCCGAGCCAGCATTGATGATAAACATCCTGTTCAAGGTCTGTGCAGAAGGGCAAACATTAAAATTTATCGCTAGCATGTAAATAAACAAACTTTGACCACCGGAATAGCTATTAGTGAAAGATAATTAGGCTAAAGAACATAAACCGCACCTCAGGATAGTTGTCACCATCAACCTTTTGAAGACGAGTAATCAAATCCCTTGCAGCTTTGTTGAAGTTTTTAAGTCCCTGTCAACCCCAGTTGTTAAATTTAGATCAGTTAACATGTTATGATAATAATTAGCATGCCCCAATTCTAAAAAATCCACCAATTAAATTCTCGAATAGTTATGAAAAGAACAATTGTCGCTAACTATACAGGTTTTGTTGAGTTCGTAAGCTTACGTACCACTCCTTGCACGTCAAGAATGGTTGTACTTTGATCAATATGCTTCTTTGCTGAAATGGAGCATGCTGGAAACTTGACATTAAAGGTCCTCTCGAATTCCATGATATGGTACTTTACATATCTGTCCATGGTTGTGACTTGCATCAACTTGGTAGAGTCTACTTGGCCTAGCCTCTCAATGTACACTGGTCGTCCATCTTTGTCAACTCCATGGTGTCCTTGTGGGTAGTAAGTCAATACTTCATCAATTTCTTTGAAATCAAAATCCTTCGATATATACAACAAAGATAAAGCCTTAGCGTCAGGGAGTCCGAATTTTTTCCTTTTCAGGGCAGTGTAATATAAAAGGCTCCTTGAATTGAATACCTCCACTATAGAGTCAGCACCGAATTCCTTCCTCCATCTAAGCATGTCAGTCCACATTTGTTTTGTTTTCTCGAGATCAAACTTTCTGGCCTTCAAAAATCTGTGCTACCGATTATAAAACACGAAAAAACATTAGAAGCAAAGCATTAAAAAAGGATCCACACTTTACCAGAAGCACACTTAAACATATCGTTGTATTCCATTCCATAAGTATGGATTCCAGAACATGTAGGTAGCACAAACCTTGATTACCATGGTGGAACTAAAGACAAAATCATATTCCAAGAATCAAGGATAGTTGAATCAGGCAGATAAGAAAAAGAAAAATTCAAGAATTACCGGAGCATCATATGGTAGTCGTCGTGTTTATCGGGGAGAAGCTCATCAAGAATAAGTGCCTGACGAAAGGCATCGACCGCCTTCAACTCCTCAACATCATGCACATCCTCGATCTCAAAGTCAACAGACATTACTTTACTACTTCTCCTTCTCTTCGTTAAAGAACACCTGAACTTGGAGGAAGCTCTCTTCTTTAGAGAACCCATCTTGGACTTCTCACCCGGGATTTCAGCATCTAAACAACGGAATACAACATCAAGAAACAAGAATTTTGGCAAAAACAAAAACAAGAATCAGACAAATCAAGACCGGATAAGAAACATACCTAGCTTCAAAGACATGGTGTAGGTACTACACTTTGGCGGATAGGTGGATAGGGCAGAAAAGGGCAAGGGGCAAAACACTCTTTACAAGAGTGTCTATATAACCAAGGTCCTTGTCAAATGCCTGCAAAAATCATATTGTCATAAGCCGATATAGAAGACAAAAACAGAATAAACGCAATCGAAGAACAAAATGTCGAACTGCGATCCAGAGGAAATCAAACTGTAATGGAGATTGTATGTTATTGATCTGAAAACATTCCAGACAAAAAAGGGTATAGGGAGATAATATAATCTGAAAACTTATCCATTTCCAGTAACCCATCCGCATGAATTCATCCGCATGAATTCAGATCAAAGAGCATGAAAAGAGATCAAATTCAAGTCTCCAACTCGATTACACATCGTTATTGATGCCCATCATGGAGGAACATCAGGATGAAGAACAACAAAATCAAGCTAGATCATGCATTACGAAATTCAATTCAGGATCTACCCCCAAATACATTCCAACAGGAAAGGAAAACGAAGAATTTAATCTTAAAAAAAATTCTACGATTCCTGAAACAATCCGTGTCAATAATGATCCAGGAGCAGATGTCAAGCCCATGATTTCAATGCAACGAAAGGATTACAACGATAAATTTTTTATTTCACAAAACAGATAAGGTATTCGATTCTACATCAAACAGCGAATTCTGGACGATTCTACACCATACAGCGAATTCTGGACGATTCAACACCAAAAAACAAAGAACACGAGAATGTGTCACGCTGAAAATAGAAAAAATGAGAGAGAGAGAGAGAGAATTACCTCTGCAAAGAGGGAACGTGAGGAGGGAGAGAGATAAAAAGGAGAGTGAAAATGGTCCGAAAATCTCTCGTCGTCCTTCATTTTAGGATCAATGGCTCAAAGAGTGTCAAGCTTTCTCCACCCCATATTCTCTGTGTTTTCTCCTTTTACCAACCTTTGATTTTCCCTTTCTTCCATAGCTTTTCCTGTTTATCGTTACATTTTTATTCTCCTATATCTCCGTTAACATAACCCATTGAACAAACGGAAGGGATGATGGAAAAATCCATCTGCTGTTTCGCGCACTCATCCTTACGGTGCACACGCGCACCCTCCAACCGCCACGTATCCCAATGGCTACGAGAAAAGAGAACAATGGCAAAGGGAGAAAATTCTAAATAAATATATCAATTTCTTAATTTTTTATCTCCCAAAAAATATATCAATTCGTAATTGTTTTTCAAATTAGTACGTGGACACTACTGGATTTTATACATCATCATCACATGTCAAACATTTTTCATGTCATTAAAAATTAAAATTATAATTAAAATTACACACATACATATATACATATATATAATAAATAATATATACACATATATACATATATTTCAATGTACATATATACACATCTCAATATAAATATATATATTCATATATAAACACATATACATATATATATATATACGTACATACATATAAATTTACATATGTATATTAATATAAATATACATATACATATATATATCCAAATAAATATATCAATTTGTTAATTTCTTATTTATAAATATATGTAAATTTATACGTGTAGTAATTTATAAATATATAAAATTTATATATTTATAAATAAGAAATTAGTAAATTGATATATTTATTTGGAATTTTCCATATGAAAAACTGTTATCTGTAATTGCAAAGGGAAATAAATCTCCATTTTTATAATATCGAAAGAGAAAAAGTGCATGGATTCAATAAACAAATGGAGCTTCCATTCTAATGTCTGAAAGCGACAAAAAAAACACAAACTAATAAAAAAAAACGCAGAGGGAGGGAGAGAGGGTTGTCCTAAGAACAAAGTTCCCCTAACGTTTGTAAAATCCACCCAAGAGCCTAAACCCTCTCCTTCTCCTCGGTCTCCTCTCACGTTCTTCGCTGCTTGAACTGGAACTCGAACTCGAACTGGAACTCGAACTGGAACTGGAGCAATGCCGGGTCGAGCCTGTCTTTGTGGTTGGTCGTGAATATGAAGATACGTTCGTCCCCACAGCTCGACCACAAGCCATCGATGCAGTTCAGAATTCCTGATAACGTCAGCTGCAAATACACACACATGCCCATGAATCCAAACGTTTGTATCTATATTCCATTCTCTAAAAGATCGAATTTTTTGCTTTGGGTACGAATTTTTGGAACATACATACATACACATGCCCATAAACGCAAACGTTTGTATCTATATTCCACTCTCTAAAAGATTGAATTTTTTGCTTTGGGTACGAATTTTTGGCAAATACATACACACATACACACACATGCCCATGAATGCAAACGTTTGTGTCTATATTTAAGTCAATCAAAGATCGAATTTTTCGCTTTGGATACGATTTTTTTGCAAATACATACAGACATACACACACATGCCCATGAATGCAAACGTTTGTATCTATATTCCACTGTGCAAAAGATCAAATTTTCAGCTTTGGGTACAGATTTAAATACCTCTGACTGAGAGCTCGACTCCTGACGACGGCGGCGACTGCGTTTACGTGACCGGTCCATGGTCTCGTCACTGCAATCTATGTCCTCGATCACCAATATGGACTGGTTCGAAGTCGAGAGCAGAATCCTCTTCAGTTCGCTGTCCGAGTAGACAGAAGTGAGTTCCAGCTCGTAGACATCGAACTTGAGGTAATTCGCCATGGCAGCAATCAAGCTGGATTTACCAGTTCCAGGTGGCCCGTACAGCAAGTAACCTCTCTTCCACGCTTTCCCGACCCTCTTATACAGATCTTTTCTCTTCAGAAACCTCTCGAGATCGCCGATTATCATCTTTTTCAGATCCGAATCCATCGCCAAAGTATCGAACGTAGAAGGGTGCTCGAGATATACAGATCCCCACCCACCTGAACAGTTATATCTCAGGCTTCGGCTATACAGCCGAAGCGTTTTCTCTCTCTGTTTGATCTCTTCCGACGCAGAGATCAGACGAGGGAGATAAACCTGCAACACTCTATCCCTACACGACTTCTCGAACGTTAGCTCGAAATGCCTTCCGTCATCGTCCCGAGCTTGGGTCGTTTTCAGTTCCACCCATCTCAGTTCCATGCCCTCGAAGTAATCCAATATCTCTTGCCCTTCATCGAACGAGACCAAGACCTCTTTCTGACCGGGAGTTTTGCTTGCCCTGACACGCTTCGTGTCGGAACTCATCCTTGTCCGGAGGTAGGTCTCGGCAGCTTCGAACAGCTGGTTCGACATCTCTCCGCTGTAATCTTCGACGATGACGGTGATGTGGTCGGGATCGAGCTTTGTGAAGAAGCGAGCGAAGAAGTCGGTTATGTATGACCTGAACTGCTCCGGTATGATGTCATTGAACATGGAACGCATCATCATCATGAATCCGGTTAACGAAGCATATGCCGATAACATGTTCGAGAAAACTCGAGTGACCTCCATGGAGTTGAAGAACAGTGGCTTCATCTTTTTTCTTCCTTTTCCTTCTTGTCGGATTTAGGGTTTTGGTGGAGGCTGTTGATTCAGAGAGAGAAGCCATAGCAAATGCCAAAAAACCCTACTTTGCTTAAATAAGCAATTTTCTCAGACTGTTTCCATTGCAAGATTCTCGTGATTACGCCTAATTAATTAGGCCTGGGCCTTTCGGTTCGGTTCTTCGGAACCGGACCGAACCGAACCGTGAAAACAGTATTTTTCCCAATCCGAAACCGCTGTTATTTCCCGAACAGAACCATTTTTAGAGAACCGAATTTTTCCGGAACCGAACCGAACCGAACCGAACTTTAAAAATCCCGAAGAACCGAACATTTTTAAAGGAAATCTAACATTTTTTAATAAAACTCGGAACAGAACCGAACCGATACCGAAACCGAACCGAATACAATAAAAAATCCGATTGGTACCTATTTTTGTAAAACCAAAAGAACCGAACCGATCCATTCTGTTCCGAACCCGAACCGTTTCCCGAAACGCCCACCCGTATAATTAATCGGCTTTTTTGGTATCCTTAAGACTCTGATTAGAACAGAAGGTTTCCACAAATACATTACAATCTCAGTCTCAAATCTCACTTACCATTTACAAATACATACATTGGAACCGCAGATATTTTACAGAAAGGCTGAATCTCGTTCATACAACCTACGATTCTTCCCTTTCCTTCCCGCTGCTTTCTTCTTCTTACCATCCCTACGGTTCGGTTTTTCGTCATTGTCACTTGCTGTAATCCCTACTTTCTTTTCAGATTCTGTGACCTCTCCCTTGACCTCGCTTATCTTGGCCTTCTTCTTCTCGAGAAAACCCAGCAACCCGCGAAGAACAACGCCAGGATCGTCGTCCTGCATCAGCTCTTCGGCTACTTCGGCTGGAGTGACGTAAATGGAGTCGATCAAGCACTCGATTTCCTCGCAGAGAGGGTGGTTCTGGCCGTCGAGTCCGAGGTAATTATAGACCAGAGTCCTGAAACCTTTGCTGGTGAGGTATGACATGTGAATGTGCACGTCCATCCGTCCCGGGCGTAACAGAGCAGGGTCGAGTCGATCTTTGTGATTGGTCGTGAACACGATGAGTCGCTCGTCCCCGCAGCTCGACCATAACCCGTCAATGAAGTTCAGAATCCCTGACAGAGTCACCTGCTCAGACAAACAATATAAGGAACTGATGATGGTTGTTCTGATTTGAGGAACCGAATCCATGTTCTTCGACACAAATCAAAAACTGTTGTGGAAGAAATTCAACAGAGAATCTTGATCGTACCTTTCTGTTAGTCTCTGCAGCGTCATGGTCATCGGCTTCCCTGTCTCGCACCTCGGCATTGCAATCGATGTCTTCGATCACCAATATGGATCGGTTTGTGGTGGACAGCAACACCCTCTTGAGATCGGCGTTATCATAAATATTGCTAAGCTCGAGATCGAACACATCGAACTTGAGGTAATTGGCCATGGCGGCGATCAGTGTCGATTTCCCCGTCCCTGGAGGGCCGTACAACAAGTAACCTCGCTTCCATGCCTTCCCAACTCTCTTGTAAAATTCCCTCCTTCTCAAGAACCTATCCAAATCGGCGATTATCTTCTTCTTCGCCTCGGGATCCATTGCAAGCGTCTCGAATGTCGACGGATGCTCAAGATTCACACAGCCCCAATTCCCACCTGCGCAATTATCATCGTCATCATTTGAATACACATCACGGCTATAGAGCTTCACTGTTCTCAGATTCCTCCTTATCTCCTCGGATTCGGATACGACATGATCCAAGTAAGAGCTCATGACTCTATCCCTGAACTTCTTTTCGAATGTGAGCTCATAATACCGCCTCGATTGATCGCCTTTCTCGCTCTCGGTCTGGACGTAGCTCCATTTCAGATCGAATCCGCCGAAGGAATCGACGATTTCTTCTCCTTTCTCGATCATGAGCGTGAAATGCTTCTGCCGAGTGGTCTTACCAACTCTGAGGCGTTCCGTTTTAGGGCCGATTTTGGTGCGGAGGTACAGCTCCGCCGCGTCGAAGACGTGGTTCCGACTCATCCCGAAGTTCTCGTCGACGATGATTGTGAGATCATTCGATTTCGGGGTGAAGAATCGGTGGAGGAAGTCGGAGACGTACGATCGGAGCTTCTCCGGGACGAAATCGTAGAACATTGACCGGAGAAGCATCAAGAAGCCGGTCAACGAGGCGTAGGCTGCGAACAGCGTCGACGCCGTGCGAGAAATCTCCGACGACGAAAACATCGCTTACCGGAGAGAATCGCCGACGAATTTTCCGGTGAGGTTGGTTTGTTTCCCGGCGGAGAGAGAGAGAGTTTCTTGGAAGGGTTAGATAGAGAGATGAATGACAATGAGCGAGTGAGGAGGCGACAGTGGTTTTTATAAGCACTAAAACCTTTTTTTATTTTTTTTTTATTTTTTATTTTTCCGATTATATTTTTTACTGTATTTCTCTCATATATTTTTTTAATTAAAGAAAGAAAATAAAAAATAAAGAGCTTACAGAGTAAGGAAGCTTGGGGAGGAAGGAAGCTTGGGGAGCAAGGAGGGTGAGAGAGGCGCGTAAGTTGAACGGTATAGTGGCTTGTGTCAATTTCCCACGTGCTACTTTATATTTGCCGTCAATTATGAAATAGAATATATTACCAAAAACAAAATACCTGAATTTAATTTTTTTTTTGGAAAATATCTCAATTTAATTTTGAAATACTTCAATTATTTTTATTTGATATCTAATATGACCTGTTACGTCAATTTCTCATAAGATGTTTTTTTAAACAAAGGCTACTATTTTGGTTAATAAACCGTTGATATAATCGTAACAAAAAAAATTCGATACACAAAACATCCTTTTGAAGGGTTTAGAAAAAGGTCCCACCACGAGAATGTACAGTAGACAAATGTAAAAATATTGTACAAAGACGGCTGCTTTCAAAATTCGAACCAAGGTTACAACGGACAACTTTGTCCAAATATTTAACCCTTATCCTATTTTAATCTTTTAATAATTAGCTTGATATTTTTTATTTTCTCTAATTTGTATTAGCTCTATTATTATGAATGGAATGAATGATTGATTGATTATTTTTTAATTAAATTCCAATTATACTTTGTTTATTGTTTTAGTTTTACTCCATGATATCTGCAGATATTTACATAGATGTAAATCTTTCTTTTTTCACAATAACATTGGAATTTGGAACCGTTGTTAAAATGATAAACGTTTTGGATAAGTATTCATAAGCCCAATATATAAAATGGGCCTATCTTATGAGCCCAAATATAACTCGGGCCGTAAAAAAAATCATGTCGGCGAGATAATTTCTCATAGGAAACACAAATTTTATAAATTGTCTCATCAACATTTTCACCGATATCGGAAATAAATTACACCTTCATCCCATTAACTTGGTTGAAATATATATATATATATATATCTATATACAAACATCGCAAAGCAAGGCGAAGACGACAAAGAAAAGAAAAGAAAAAAATCCTAAAAACATGATCGAAGCAAACTTGTAACAAGACTTGAATCAAATCACAACATTTTCACATCCCTCTCTCTCATATATGTGTGTGAGTGTATATATATATATATATTATTTGAAGTAAATAACGGGCATATTAGATCTTGGATCCCACATGCCACCTTCCTTGAGATATTCCAAGTACCTCGAGAACTCCGGCTTGGCCGTCGTCTTCTTCTTCCGGCTGCTGCTATTACTGTAAAGTCCTTCGAACAGGCTGAAGATTGGGTGACTGAATTTGCCCTTCGTCTTCTTCCTGGCCGCCGATTTCTGACGTGGCAGCTCCTCCAGTATCGCCGGAACTGAACCACGACCGAGCTTGTTCCTTGGTGGGTTAGACGATAGCCACGTGGGCACTGTCCTCGACCTCTTCAGCTCACCTTCCTTCAGAAAGATCGATGATTCATCCCCTAACCTCTCGTATCCATGGCGGCTCCTCGCCCTCGTGCTCAAAGCTCTAAGCATCTTTCTTTCTTTTCTTTTCTTTTTTTGCCGACAAGTTGGAAAGAGGAAGAGATGGAGAAGAAGAGTTGATGATTGATGGGTGTGGAAGGGGAGAAGGTGGATACAAGTTTATATATAAAATGGGTTTTTTTTGGGGATTAGTTTAAATGTTTATAATATTTTAAATCTACTTGGAAAAAGTCAGGGTTAGGGTGCCAGGTTGAATAATATTAAAAATATATATACGACCAACGACCAAAAAAAGGATGGGTACGGTTTTTATTTGACTTTTCAAGTCTCATCTCCTGACTTCAAGACCCGAAGCCGAACCTTCCTTTGGGAAAAAAAAATCATTAAAAATACTTCACAGAAAAAAAAATTATGTGCATGCATGTATATGGTCATAGGTCATAACCATATATCTGCACATACCCATGATAAATGCAGAAATTTGTTCATGAGAAAACCGAGGTGTTAGCAGAATATATTTATACACACACACATATATATATATATATGTCATGCATGCGTGTGTGCATGGCTTCATAGACAAGGGATGAATATCGGTAAGGGGAAGAGGTGAATCTTTTCTTCAATTAAAGATTTGGTTCAATTCCAGAAATGTTTTCTTGGAAGAGAAAAAAGCCAAAGCCAAAGAAGATTTTGCAATTGGAGGATAAATCTTAACAACAATGGTTGGTAGATATTTACTTTTGACTACACCATGAATTTTACAAATTACTAATAATTATAATAAACCCAAGATGAGTGGATGAGTGGGAGAAGTGGGGACTCAAAAGAGTCACCCTTGATTAAAACCTTTAACAAAAAATGCAGTGAAAAATTCCAAGCTACCGTTCTTCCGAGTTGAACCTGTTCCAAGCTTCCTGAAAATGGACACAATTCTGATCAAATTTTTACTGCAACATGTAAATATATTTGTCGGGCAGATCTTTGTCTTTTTACCTTGAGAAGATCGAAAACCTTTTCGCATATATACTTCTGCTGAATACTAGCTCCCCTTTGCTGTAATTTGTCAGGATGAACACAGAGCGTCGCCTTTCTGTAAGCTTTCTTCACCGCCGCTGAAGTTATAACTTCCGTCAATGGTATAGGTTGCCACCCGCTCTCGGGCCCGAGTATCTGTTAAAAACCCGGAAACGAAAACGAAACCCGAGTCGTAAAAAAGCTTGTTAGTTTCGCCTTTACAGTTTTGTGTGTGTGTGCGTGAAGGAATGAAATTAGTAAAAGAAAATATACGTATTGTAACGTTGAGAGCAATGCTCGGACATTCCCTTCTTTTCCACCCGACCACCTCTTTACTTCCGCGTCTAATGTTTCGGCTAATCTCTGCATACAGAACGAAGAAAACCCGCAAATACGGTTTTAGAGAAAAATTCGAAGAAACTGTGATTCAGAAGTGAAGAAAGTATTTTTTTTACGTTTCTTTCTGCTTGCTCTCTCTGAGCCACGAGATCTCGCATGTTTTTCTCTTCCAAGGCTTTAGCCTGCAAGAATCAACATGTCGTTTATGGTCTAGAATTTAGAATTTAGGTTAACGATGATAATGATAGCAAACAGTAAAGAATATTACCACACGGTCAGCTGTTCGGCGGTGCCTTTCTAACCTCGAGATATACCTTTGAGGCGATTCAACATCAGCACCTATGGAGGCAAAGAAACCAAAACATTAGCAAAGAGGAATTAAGAAAAAAAGAATCACAGCTTTAGAGTTTTTTTTTTTAAACTACCGGAATATGCAGGAGCATTCTGATATCTTGAACCAATAAAGGAGGATGAACTCCGGAATTGCTTATTATTATCTGGAACCGATCTTTCCATCCGCTCTCTTGCCTCGATAGCAGCTTTTTCAGCTGCACGTTCACGGGCTTCTGCAGTTGCTCTATCCACTGCTGCCCGTTCTGCTCTAAGCCTCGCCTCTGCTGATAACTTATCGGCCGTAGACTTCTCTCTTGCCTCGGCACACGCCTTCTCCAATCTTTCACGGGCATCGGCCAATGCTCTCTGATCAAATCCCATCCTATCCTTTTCTCTCTCTCTTTC